CTCGAAATGTGGCTGTAAAGACGCACAATGAAGTCACTCCTTTTTACCGCCATTTTGAGCCTTCGGAACGTTCGGAACAGCTTCTCCTCAATACTATTACAGGTAAGGTTGACGCATGCGCAGACGTTTTTCGGCGGTGTTAGTTTTTATATAATGTCAATTACTCCCACAAATTTTTGTATTAATACTATACGTGTGATAGTTTTTAACTTGTCGTGCTGATAGGTTAAGACAAACACACACATACCAACGCGAAAATAGCCTCCTGGCGGAGGTAAGCATTGCTACACGTGATTATAGGCTAACGATAAAAATAATTCATAACAACAAAAATGCAAAACAAGTGATTTTAAGTGATTAGGCGCGCCGCTAAATGATATTTGGTTTTGGAATATTTGTCACCAAAACTATATGATATGCAATTTATTTGAAAGATAAGGGTCCGTTTGTTCAAGAACCGTAACCGTTTAGCTTAACCCTTAGGTAAACTTAAAATTCAAGGCAAACTTCGTAATTAACCGAACTTGTTTATAAATTTGAAAATATTTCTTCAGAAATATTGTCCGGATCAGTAGGAGTTTTCTATTCTCTAAAATTTTGAAATAAACAGACCGAAATACATAAACTAAAATAGCAGGTTAAATTATTACCCAGGGTTATCGCTAATCCAGCTTTGAACAACCAGCCCAAGATGTTTATACTTACAGCACATGACTATCATATGGCAGTCAAACCAAGAATTAAGACACGGAATAGCTTGATTCGTCATTGCGAAGTCACCTCAAAAGTCCTTGAAGTTCTCGCGTCGTTTTATAATAGACAATTGATAAAACTAGAATAGTGAAGCGAATAGTGCGAATAGTCGACGAATAGTACGAATAGTCCGCGAATAGTACAAATAGTCCGCGAATAGTCGACGAATAGTACGAATAGTCCGCGAATAGTACGAATAGTCCGCGAATAGTCGACGAATAGTACGAATAGTCCGCGAATAGTCGACGAATAGTACGAATAGTCCACGAATAGGCGACGAATAGTACGAATAGTCGACGAATAGTGCATTAGAGACTTTGCAAGGTTTTGCAGCAGTGCTTAGAACTAAATTTACCGGGGGGAGGGCTCTATTGACAAACATGAAATCGTGAAACATTCGTTGACGTACGTCAATGACGTCATACCTAACCGGTAAAAATTACGGGAACCACTGAGTATTTTAACTGAAATATAAAACAACGGTAATTTCGTAAATAAACATTTTAATATTCTAGCTTTCGACTAAAATTCAGTCATCGTCAGGAAACATATTTCATATTTTTTTAATTAAAAATCATTCCTAGTGTGGTGGGTGGTAACCGTATGAGTCATGAATTTTACTGATGGAATTTTATAGGAATTTTACTAGTAAGTTGTGACGTTGCGTGTGCTTGGAAAACGTGATTTACATCACGAAACAAGAGAAGGTATCGATCTATTATTTAAGCCCGATTTTGGGCGAATTTGTTCGCGCGAAGCGAAAACCAAATTTCGGCAATGTGATTGGTCAGCGAAAAAATTCGCCGCGAAAAAGTTGGATCAGTTCCTACTCTTTTACTTGTCGCTTCGCGCGAACAAATTCGCCCAGTAGAAAACTTAACGTCATTCCAGTGACTGTCATTCTACTTCCTGTTAAAAATTTTGTTAAAACTCAGTGGTTCCCGTAATTTTTATTACCGATTACGTATGACGTCATTGACGTCAACGAATGTTTTCACGATTTCATGTTTGTCAATAGAGCCAACCCCCCTCCCCCCGCCCCGCTTCGGTAAATTTAGTTCTACAGCACGGTGCAAAGCCTTGCAAGGTCTCTATTGCACTATTCGTCGACTATTCGTACTTATCGTCGACTATTCGCGGACTATTCGTCGACTATTCACGGACTATTCGCACTATTCGTCGACTATTCGCGGACTATTCGCACTATTCGTCGACTATTCGCGGACTATTCGTACTATTCGACCATTCTAGTTTTATCAATTGCCGATCAGGGATGCCGGAAGTTGCTGAGGACAAGGGGTGCAATTGGTTAACAAAAGGGCATACTCTATAACAAAAGGGCACCAATGAAAATGAAAGGCCGTCATGATCCAACATTCGTGTCGACCTCCCTCCCCGTCACCAATTTTTTTCGGACCGAATACAATTATTTAGGCACAATTCCTCCGTAATGCTTCAATAAAAATTCCATAAGTAATGCTTTCCGTTTCACCTTTCGCCAAATGGATAACAACTTTGCCGAATTCCTGACGACTGCGGGGTGGAACACCCCCACACACATCCTCAAGCGACGTTTAATTCTGTCTGCTGTAAAAGTTTTGTGCACTCGATACACCCATAGTCTGCACCCGCACTGCACCTACAAAGTTGAAAATGCAAAAGGCAAGGGGTGCACTTGCACCCGCTGCACCCGTGGTTCCGGCATCCCTGACGGTGATGTTATGATTTTGTTTGTGCTTAAATTTTGCAATAATTCCCACTAAAAAGTATCTTGAAATCATTGTAAGCCTGTTTATATAAAGCATACAAAGCATATACATCGACAAGGAACCGCAAAACTCAAAGTTTAAACTTCGTGTAGTTCGTGACCGAATGACATAAAACTGACATGTCAACTCTAGCATTTTCGTCCTTGATCGCGTAATTTTGAAAACGGGTGAAAACGTTTGAAACCTCTTCGCCACGAACACAAAATAAACAAATTAACTCTATTTTAAGTCTAATTATGAGTAACACTAAATGGTATCTGCTATAAGAGCTATATCCAGGGGCGAAACTAGCCCCTTTTAATTCGGGGGGTGTCTGCCAATTCCTGTTAAAACATGGCTTAAACCCTTATTTTTGGACCAATATAAATTCTATAAATTCCCTCTGAAAGCCCTGTAAATTACTTAACTCAACATTCTATCATTTAAAATCGTTGATTTATTCAAAACAATAAATAATAGTAATTTTTACCAACCGTAGCTCCAGGATATGATTATTCTTGACCAGCCTATTAATATCCGCAATTCCCGCCAAAACTCTCACGACTGAGTGTAATTCCCGCCAAAACTTTTACAACTGAGTCAGTACAGGACTGAGTCCATGTACCGTCGCTTGCAGGATGAACGGTGAGGTCGTTGATAAAAATATTGCCTATTCGCGTGAGAATCTTCGATATTTGTCAAGAGTACTTGACAGGTTCTGATCTGATTTTAACCCGTTGAACAACCAGATCCAAGCTCTGAAACCACCAAATGATCATAAATGATCATCAAAAACATTGAACTTTCTCGGTAAAAACATGAACTTTGTCATGAGAATAGACCATACTTTACTGCGACCGTTCATCCTTAGTGCATTCAGTAAATGAGTCCGCCTTTTACAAATCGCAGCCCGCGATTTGTAAAACACGGACTCAGTCCGCGTTTTACAAATCTTAGTTCGCGATTTGTAAAACACGGACTCAGTCCGTGTTTTCCCGGTCCAGTCCAGTCCAGTCCGTGTTTTACAAATTCAGTCCGCGATTTGTAAAACACGGACTCAGTCCGCGTTTTCCCGGTCCAGTCCAGTCCAGTCCGGTCCAGTCCAGTCCAGTCCGTCTTTTACAACATGCCCATGTTTTGCATGTTCCGTGAAACAAAACATGACAGTTATGCCGTTTATGTTTACATCTCCGTAGAGGTTTTTAGCCCTCCCACTGTGATGACATTTAGATGTAACTACTAAAATTTAATTTAAATCTTGCTATAATAGCACGTCGATAAATTCTCGCGGTTTGGAAAAATGTTTCAAATTCACGATTTTCTTGCTTTAATTTGCTGTTTTGGGTAAAAAAACATACAGCAAGCTCATAGAAAAGCAACACTGATGAAATACTTGCCTCCTATTTCTTCCCCAATAACCGAATACTCCACCATCATAGAAATGTTCCATCAATCTAGACAGCTAGCGAAGCAATCCAACATGTCCTACACTCACATCACTCTCGACGTGGGAGCTGCAATCAAGGCTTTTCATGTGGTTTGGAACAATCCAGGTGCGTGGTCCGACATTATAATTCATCTAGGGGATTTTCATGCAATAATGGCCTTTTTGCGGTTATTGGGCGTTTCGTGGAGGGTAGTGGATTCGAAGATGTGTTATTTCAAGCGGGTCAGTGTAGCTCTGGAAGCATTACCTGAGTGATGAGTGGAAAGCACTACAATCGATGTTGGCTTGTTCACGAAGCGTTTTCCGAGGCATTGGAAAGACTCTTTATGTAATATATGAACAACGAGAGCGAGTGTTTCACCGGGATATCCAAACACGAGAAAACAACGTATGAAAACACGAGCGCGAAGCGCGAGTGTTTTCATACATTGTTTTCGAGTGTTTGGATATCCCGGTGAGACACGAGCTCGAGTTGTTTATATGGCTTCTCAAATGAATCGAGACGTAATAGAATGTTTTTGTTTGTTGATTTGAATAGAATTCTTAACCAAGCATAACGTAATTAGGAATTCTATTCAAGTAATTTTGCATGCGTAATTAAGATATTTGATGAAAACACTAGTGACTTTCATCAAGTATCCAAATGGCATCTTGTGATCAAATAGGTGATTATCATTGGCTGAATTGCTCATGAATTATTAATGAATTTGAGAAAGAACAATATTTACCAACCATGCCAGAGAAAGTTGAGGAGTTCGCCCAAAGTGACCCCGCCCAAGGAACAAGTTTAACGAACATTCTTATTAAGCAATGCCAAACACATAAAACCAAATGTTTGAACGGAGAATTTGGAAAAACACACCAGTATTGGGAAAAATATATGGAGCTAATTGATCGTCAGCAGAAATTGCACTTTTCCATCAATACCAATGATCATGATCTGAGAATGCTCATTTGGAAAAATCTTTGCCTTTCTGCTTCGCTACCAATCGGGTTCATTATGCTCGCAATGGCACATATTATGTCGGTGGCTTAGAATGTATCGACAGCACTCACCCAGGAGCAAGACAGGAGATCGAAGATCTTGGTTTGTCCGTGCGGAGAAATCAACTTGGCATAGGACAGGCAATCGGCATGGCAGGCGAACAAAGTTACCTGAGAAGCGCAAAGACTGCGGGTAATTTCATATTTATGAATTAAAACATCTGTTGTATTAATGCGATCTTCTTAAACAATCTTTTCTTACATATGACGAACGCCATAGTTATATACTTCAGATGTATTGTCATTCTCTTTGTTTTTCAGGTGGAGTCACGCAGTTTGCTGCAAAAGAAAACACTGTTGCAAAGTGGGTCATGAATAGGCCATATCAAACCAAGTTTGTCGAATCGTTACTGAACCTATCAGGAATGTCCACTACAACGTCAAATCCACGAAAATGTCTACGAAGCAGTGAAATTCTTAAGTCGAATAAGATGGTGGGAAAAAAAATGGTCGTATTGCGGACACAATTCATCAATCCCTTCCAACCTGATCTTGACAAGGATGAGTTGTTCAACTTGGTATCGGGGTATCCGGCTACAGAGAATGTACGCAACTGCTTACTCACACTTGAATCAAGAGGAAAGGAGCTAATGGATGAATTTCAGGACAGACTTACAACGGAATCAACAGGATCGTCCAAAACAGTTTTTTGAGCCAATCAAGAGGGAGACGCTCAAGACCTTCAAGAGTTTGGCCGTTAAAACCAAGTTAAAGAGCAATGGAAAGACAAATTCAAAAGAACTTACATTTCAGAGAGATATCTTGGGAATGTTAGTTGCTTATTCCAACAAGCACGAGGCAGGGGTTGATCTTGGGAAAGTGCTGTGTTTTCCCCTTGCACCAGTTTCAATACCACTAAGCACACCAGATGGTGCAATAAGAAAGACCGTCAAAAGCAAATTGTACGACGCCTCCATGAGCGACCTAAGCGTTGTAAGCTTCGACGTACTACCATGCACCCGCTTTGACAATGAGAACATACTTCATAGATCTTGCCGCTGCAATACGTAGTTTGCAGGGATGTACAAACAAGGGATGAAATATCAGTTATCTAATATTTAGCTAGCGACCACGACGAGGCAGACACAAAGCTAGTTGCCTTGGCCCACGCCGCGAACGTACATCCTGGAGATACACTCATGATTCGATCTCCTTCTGGAGATATCCATATCCATATCCATATCCATATATATATATATATATATATATATATATATATATATATATATATATATATATATATATATATATATATATATATATATATATATACACAGTAATTTTAGAAGGGCCATTCTGGCCCCATAGGGCCATTTTGGCTTTTCAAAACCGGGGCCGTTTTGGCTCTAACAGGGGCCAAAACAGAACACTAGGGGCCAAAACAGAACACTAGGGGCCAAAACAGAACACTAGGGGCCAAAACAGAACACTAGGGGCCAAAACAGAACACTAGGGCCGTTTTGGCCCTTACTTTTCTAGCCGTTTTGGCCATGTACAGGGCCAAATTGGAATGTTAATGGTTAAAATAAGAATTGTGTCACTTTGCAATAAGTACCGTTTTGGCTCTAACCGGGGCCAAAACGGATCACAAGGGCTATTTTGGCACCTCGAGGGCCGTTTTGGCCCCTATTCTTAATGCTATTTTGGCCCTAAATTGAGGTGCTGTTTTGGCCCCATATTTAGGTGCTGTTTTGGCCCTATATTTAGTGCTGTTTTGGCCCATATTTAGGTGCTGTTTTGGCCTTATATTTAGTGCTGTTTTGGCCTTATATTTAGTGCTGTTTTGGCCATATATTTAGGTGCTGTTTTGGTCCCCATATTTAGGTGCTGTTTTGGCCCCATATTTAGGTTCTGTTTTGGTCCCATATTTAGGTGCTGTTTTGGTCCCATATTTAGTGCTGTTTTGACCCTCATACTTATTGCTATTTTGGCCAAGTACAGGGCCAATTTGGGATGTTATTCTAAATGACTAAAATTCATATAGCTAACTTTTCTTCAGGAGTATAGTAACACACGGACTAGTTTCGGATATGGAGCCAGATTTAAGGGACGTCTTGGTAGAAGTTCTTGTCCATGCAAATGATGTAGAGATTTGCGATGACATGAAATGCCATCACATGTTATGACATGCGATACGTTAATTAAACCATAAAATTTTTATATTATGGTAATTGCATATAATTTTTTAGAGAATCCATCTTCATTATTTGCTTATAAGAATTTTCACTAATTTTTTATGGTCATTACTGGTATTTGGCAGATTTATGCTTCAAGATTCATAGGTTATGATTGCTAGCGAGAGGCGAGAGATAAAAGCGCTTTTGGTGTATCTATTTTAAAGACAAGGGCCACGCGCGCAATGAGTTGTGGTATGTCGTGTATCGAATGTCAGTGTGAAATGTGTGATTTGCAAATTTTTTACTTTTTCGTTCGAGTATATTTCGACGAAGAAAAGACTTCTTTTGAGAGATTTTCGTTATATTTTTTATTGGACAAGTGACTCCGAACCTGCCAAAGGCTTATTTGATCTCAGGTATGAAAAATAATTGTTTACATCATATAATAACAACGTAATAATAATAATAATAATAACTTCTTTATTTAAACTGGTAAAAACCGATCAGCTAACAAAATATCAGCTGGTATAAACCGATGACCAGCATTAATATATAAATAGTTTACATACATAATACTATATATTATCTAAAACAAAACCACACCATGCACATGCAATACTAAAATAGATATAAAAAATGTTTAAAAATATATATATATATTTAGTGCTAAGAATTACTATATGCTACAACGATGTTCGTGAGCATCAGTTTCTAAGAAAAACTTAAAATTATTGTTTTTAAAAGAGGACAAAGTCTTTAAGTCTCGTAAGTGTTTTGGCAAGGCGTTCCATTCTTTCGCGGCCGAACATTGAAATGACGACTCGCCCATTTTCGATTTGGTTGGAATTACGCACAACAACGTGGTGTCTCTCAGGGATCTATTGTGCGTTTCTGATCTTCTAATAAAATAACCAATTAGCTGTTGTGGACAGTCAATGTTGTATATAATTTTATATACTAATTGCAAACGAAGAAAGCGCCTTCTGCTGCTTAATGACAATAAGCCCAGTTTAGTGCGCATTTCTTGCGTGCACGTTTTGCGATTTGCTGATAGTATAATACGCATCGCTTGATTCTGCAGACGCTCTAAACGCTGCGAATTCCCCTTTCCGCATTCTGCCCAAACCATACAGCCGTAATCTAGTACTGGTAAAATGGTTTGTTTATATATCCTTAATAACGTCTTACAGCTAAGGAATGCCGATATTCGGTTCAGTATTTTGAGCTTAGGGTACATTCGCGCTGATAAGTTCGATACATGTTTTTTCCATGTCAAACAGCTATCAATGTCGACACCGAGGTATCTAAAATGATCTGACTGTTTCAATATTTCCCCGTTTAATTTAACATGTAAATCACGCGCGTTAGCCACTGAATATCTGGATCCTATAACCATGACTTCCGTCTTCCTATGATTACTTATCAGACCGTACTGATCAAGCCAAGAATCAATATGTTTAAGGTCTTCATTGACACATTGTTCGGCTATGTTAATATCTTTCGAAGTAGCATAAAGTTCAGTGTCATCAGCATACAGTGAACCATTACTCTTTTGACAAACATTGAGAATACCATTAATATGAATATTAAACAATGTTGGGCCGAGGACAGACCCCTGAGGAACTCCGTGTGTAATATTCCGATGATCTGATTCTGCTCCTCCACTTACGACGAACCGACGTCTGCTCGAGAGGTAACTTCTGAACCATTCAAGTTCATTATCCTTTACACCATGTTGTTTGAGCTTGTGTAGTAAGATGTCATGATCTATAACATCAAAAGCTTTACGAAGATCAAGAAAAGCACAAACAACTTTTTCGCCTTTGTCGATTGCTAATTTCCAAGCATCAACGGCTCTAATAAGAGCTACTGTTGTAGAGGAGTGTTTAACATAAGCATATTGATGCTGGCTGATAAGGCCAACATTTTGTGCAAAAGCTTGAAGGTTTGAATTTGGAAAAGATTCCTGGATTTTAGAGATACATGGCAGTACTGATATTGGTCTTTGATTGTCACGCTCAGTTTTCAATCCTCCTTTATATATTGGAGTTACCTTTGCTACTTTCCATATTGAGGGAAATTTACCGCTCATATATGATGCGTTGAATATGTTCGTCACAACTTTACTAATGTAAGGTGCGGCAATCTTTAGAACTTTAGCGGGAATATTATCTGCACCGGTAGCTTTAAATGAATCCATCGTTTGCAGGGCATAAGACACATCTGCTTCGCACAAGGATTGAAATTTAAAAGTACTTGTGGGATTCTTTATTGGTTGTTCAATTGGATATAGTTCGGTATCCAATGATGGTCGATTTCCCAGAAGCGTTGATGCAATAGTCGTAAAATATTCATTTAATGAATTCGCAATATCTTTCTTGTTTGTCAGTTCTTTATCATTTACCACTAGCTTGTTTATAACGTCCATTCGTGGTTGTTGTTGCTGCTAAAATTTGAATTTGCACGCGCGAGAATTCGTACGTAGTTTTATATTGAAGTTATTTCATTTCAATGCCGTCAAATATTAGTTAAAATCAACAATTCAAATTTTGAATAAACACATAGTAAATACTGGGTTTTGCACTTGTTTTGCTTTCCCCAAAGCATGTTTGAAACCACATAGTATAAAACTATATGTGAATATATATAAATAATGACATGCAGTTGTCATTCATATATTTCACTTAGGTTGTCTGCATCAAGCCTCGAAGTCAAAACATGAAAATTATTTGTGAGTTTCAATTTATCAGGGCACATTATGTCTTAAAGGGTTAGTGCTGCCCACAAATTATGGTAAAAAGTATAAACAGTAAAACTTTGCTAGCTTGAGCTTGAAGGATTTCCAATCCAAACCCTTGCAGAGTTTTATACATATTGTATGTTTATGATGTTAGGGTTTGTAATCCAAGTGAGAATATATACATTTTAAGACCTAACCAGGAACGACTGCGAAAAATGCAGTACAAGGTCCCTTGGTAGGAATTGAACCCACAGCCCTGTGATTCCGGTGCAGCGCTCTAACCAACTGATATTATTCCACCAAGTTTAGTGCAAGAATCTAAGTCATTCAAGTCCACCTTTACATATTGTATGTGCCTGTTTACATGTATGTGATAATGACATGGCTGGACAGGAGGTTTTAATCCAGCCTTGCTGAGAAACCTGGCTAAGCAAAATAG